ATCTGGGCGCTCTGACAAGGAGCCAGGGTGTTGTTTGGACCCGTCTCTTATCCCACTGGCGGCTCTCCTTCCCTGAAGTCTGACCGATTCGGTCTCAAGTTTTAAAATAGTTCCAGTGTCAGTTCTTGGGGGTTTTCATTTTCTGCTTGCTTGTTTCTTACCAAAATTAACTTTCTTCTTCTTGGGCCAAAAAGGCCATGTGTGGCAGTGGAAAGAGCTCAGGCTTTGGAGACAAGCGGAGCTGGGTGCAAATCCTGATTCTGCTGAGTAGTCATGACCTGCCCTGGGACAAGTCATTTTTTCACTGCTCTATGCAACAGTTTCTCCCACTGGGAAAGGGGGGCTGATAATCCTTCCATTCTCGTAGAGTTATAGGGAAGAGCATTAAGTAAGAAACTCCACGAACAGAGTTTTTCAGATTGCATGGCATACGGGAGGTCTGCAGGAAATGTTGGTTACTTTTGCTTCTTCCTGTTTCATTCTCCTTGACTCAGTTGATGGTTTTCAGTGTCTCTTTTTTCCAAGGACAATCCCAGAAGAGCTATTCTCTATGAGGCAGGTTGGGGTCCCACTAGCCCTGAAAAGAATGAGTACCCGGGATCATTTGGGGAGAAATAGGATGAAAAGAGAGCATGGTCCAGACCCCTGAGTTTTAATTAAGCACAGCTGGGCACCAAACCTTCCATCCATGCTGCCAGAAGGTGTGATGGAAGGATTCAGGTGACACAGGCATGGAGGCACAGTCTCTCAGGCAGGAAGTCTGGGTTCACATCCCACTACTGCCACTTCTGCCTCTGGGACCTTGGGCAGAATGTTCACATCCTCTCCTTGTTTCACAAGTTCAGGATCTTCAAAATGAAGATGCATTAGATCCACCCCAGCTTGAGAGTTCTGGGAATGCATACTTCTGCCGTGGGACTTTTTTCTCATTCTCTCTCTTCTCCTCCGGGGTTCTTGCTCTTACAACTTCACCTTTGCTTTACCCTACCGTACCTCTCTGCATCTTTGTCCGTCTCCCCTTTCCTTTTTTTTTTTTTTTTTTTTTTTCGGTACGCGGGTCTCTCACTGTTGTGGCCTCTCCCATTGCGGAGCACAGGCTCTGGACGCGCAGGCTCAGCGGCCATGGCTCACGGGCCCAGCCGCTCCGCGGCATGTGGGATCTTCCCGGACCGGGGCACGAATCCGTGTCCCCTGCATCGGCAGGCGGACTCTCAACCACTGTGCCACCAGGGAAGCCCTCCCCTTTCCTTTTATTCCCTCTCTCGTGTGAGTACTCTCTGCATAGCTCACTGTCTTTGTCTGTCTGCCATTCTCTAATCATTCCTTTTTTGCCTTTCTATCTGTTAATCTCTGAATTTCTGTTTCTCTGTCCTGTTTCTTATTTGAGTTTTGGTTCCTCCTTCTCTCTCTCTGAATCAGGCCCCTCTTTATCCCCACTCCCTCTCTGCACCCCACCTAGGAAGGCAAATTGCTTCTGCAGCCCCTCTATCCATGTAATTTTACACAGCACCGCAGAGTTGAGACCAATTGGAGGAGTGAGAGTCAAGGCTGATTCTCTCGTCCTAAGCTCACCCTGGTGTAACAAAACAGAAACATCAGCACTTGGGCCTGTTTAAATTGAATGTCCTTGTTTGTTT